TCAAAACTTTCATCAAAATACAAAACTATTTGATTCTTGAGCAGTAACAAAGATATAAAAATATCAGTTTGCAAAAAACACCCACTGCATGTTATTTATAATTTAAACTATGATAAAATTAGTGTATAACTAAGTCACACTGGTGAAATAAGTAATGTTATTTTTTAATGAACAAGAATTTGAGTGTACAATGTTTGAAAATATGAATACAAATCAAATATAGATGTATTTACAAAAATCATTAATAGAAACTATTATATGAATGTTTTTTCTTTTTTTGGGAACCACTAGGTGAACACTTTCTTTTACTATATAAAAAAATCCCTTATATTCTGTGGACATCTCCTCCTTTTCTCACGCCACACCAACAATACACAAAACTACTACAAGTTTTTTTAACAAGTTGGACACTAATGAAGTTAGTTGGGATTTATCAAATATGGCTTCCAACCACATATTATGCACAAAATCATATTTAAAAAAACTTATATCTAAAAACTTCAATGCTTTAAAAAAATCTCACTTACTACATTCTCAAACTCTTATATTCCATCACAAAAATTTAGAACATGTACATGTAATACAACACATAAAGGAATTCCTACTCTAAATTATTGAATGGTTCACAAAATATAAATTTTAAAATTTTATATATGAGAAATTAAAAATCATTAGAATCAACTATTTTAATACAAATGCAATCAACGATGAACTTATAATCTAATGAATATGATAATTTATATTTCTAAATAGATCATCTTTAAAATTTATTGATTCTTTTTTGATAGATTAACTTATTGATTCTATTTTTATCTAATTTTAAAAAACAGAATTATTTATTGTATGATTGAAATTTGTTTTATTTTATTTTTATAATGCATAATCAGAATTCTTGTTCTGATTGTTTGAGAAGAAAGAAAGATTGTTGTCAAAGTATATTAATTAACAATTACTAATGATATAATATTTGATTTAAAAATAATTACAACTCAATTAAACTAAGATTTTGACAAAAATCTAAGAAACAATGCAATCTTGGTAAATTTAAAGACAAAGTTCAATCACAAATAGTATTTTAAATAAAATAAAGATATCATATATATATATATATATATATATATATATATACATATATAACCTTTAGATTTTAAATTCTTATAAAATCTTGATGTTTTAAAAAGAATACATTGGTAACCTTCTAATCATCTATTTAGATGACATAATGAGAAATTTTAAGATTCAAGAAGAATACATGTTCTATACATAATTTGCTTTTAAAAAAATTATATAAAAAGATAAAATATGAAATTAAACAACATATCTTTTCTTATAAAAGATTATTCATATTTTTGGATCTTTCATATTATACTAAGAAATTTTTATAAACCACAAGGCAATACAAATCTCATATATTGGAAGGAACATATGTAATAAAGTAAACTTGTAAAACAACAATACACTAATATGTATACATTCTTGTGAAATGATAATAATTTTTATGTACAACTATGAAGGAGGAAAGGTGGCAAAGAAAACATAAGTTTATGTAGTAGAAACATTTTAAAATGAATATTTTTAAATATAATAAATTAAAGAGTTTCAGATTAAAATTAGAATATAAAAAATGTATTGAAAAGATTGGTAAATACCTTGGTCTCACTTCCATACATATTAACTAACAGAAGACTATGTTAATTGTTTTGAAACTAGAACATTTACAAAATTATGTTTGAAATAATTGTATAGTGAGTTTTTTAAAATAATAATTTTTTTGAGAAGTAGTAGTGTATGTATGGAGCACCCATAGATTTAATTTGTGCGTCTTTTTATTTTATTTTATTATATTTTATCGATTTTTTTTGCAGAATATTGCATCTATTTTTTATGTAATAATACTTATTTACATAATATGGATATTTTGAAACCTCTATAAATAATATATTTAAATTTTTTTTAGAGTCTATAAATATTTTAAAATAGACCACATAAAATCTAAGATTCTTTTAATAAAGTTTTATAAGATGATTTAATTAATACAAATTGACAAAACTAAGTAACTATTAAAATATTAAAAGATGAATTTATTTTGGTATAAAAATACTTTTTATGAATTTATATAAATTATTTTAAAAAATGAATAAGCTAAATTAAGCATTTGACAAAGTATATTTAAAATTTAAAATTTACAACAAAGAAATTTTTAGCAACACTTGATTATTTTGAAGAGTTTTTCTATGAATTAGAAAGAAAATTAAACTATAATGCTTTAATGAATTTACTATAAGAACTGTTGGTATTTTATGAATGCACAAATTTTAAAATGATGCCAAATTACATAGAATGTATCAATTTTTGTATTTATTTTGTAACTTCATGTTGTATTAACATTAATCAAAAAAGTCTGCATGTACTTTTTTGTATGACTTACTGCCTATCTAAAAAAAGAGAATTTTGTTTAGAACAAACAAAAGAGTGTTATCTTGATATCATTTAGTTTAAATACATATATAAATTAAACCAAAATAAAAATGAAACATAAGCAAAGAATATAAAATAGTGAATTTGTCAAAAAATACAAAATAAATCCTTGCAATCATTGAGATAATAATTAATTATTTCAAGTTCAATAACTATACTTCAAAGTATTTTGGAGTGCACTTCTAAAATACAAGTGTTTTTATAATATATATGTATAAATATAGATGTATATTTGTGAAAAAATTTTGTTTCTATAAAACTATAAATTTAATATCTAAAAATTACAGATAGCTAAGAGTTTATACCTTCGTGAAGAAATTTTACCAATCTTAATACATTTGGACAAGAACCAAAATTCAAAGGCATCACAACATGATTTGTGTAAATCATTTTTTACTAAAAAAAAAAAAAGCAAAAAACAAACCAAACCAAACCAAACCATAGTGATTATATTAAGTTTTCTAAGTATCAATATTACTAATCTTATTCTACTTATTCTAAGATGATATCTACTTTTTATTCTAAATTAAATAAATGGACTCAATTAGATGTTTATTTTAAACAATCAAAAAATTAGATTAAAATTATTATAGTTCATTAATTTATTTTTAAAAATAAATTAATATTATTTTAATTTATATAAAATTAAAAATGATTATATACCAAACTTATTAATATAATTTAAATAAAATATTTGTAATTTTTTTGTAATATATTGAAGTATAATATAAAAAAATAAAATAAAGAATGGTAATTACCTTGAAAGTAAGTTAAATAAATTATAAGCTCTACTAATGCTCATAAATAGTATAAAAGGGTGTCCTAAAGGAACTCAAGGCATTAATCAAAATTTTCCAGCTACAACCATAACATTTAATTCTATATAAGGCTAATGCATATAGTTTTGTAGTAGCTACAAATTATATTGTTTTTACTGAGTGATTATATACAAATACATACTTATTTTATTATAAAAATATTTGTATGTATACCTATATATATATATATATATATATATATATATATATATTAAAAAGAATATAGTATCAACAAAAAAAAATGATCTATTATTTAATTTACATGATATGTGAATAAGTATACAAATTTTTAGTTACTAATAATATATGTCTAAATTAAAATAAAAAATCAATAAGTGACCAAAGATTATGTCATAGTGTTGATGTTAATAATATTGATCTTAATGAAATTTCTTAGAGAAGAAGCTATCTATCAAGCTGTGCATAATAATGTAAAAAAAGATTTATTGAATAGCATTAATAGTTCTTAATTTTTGCAAATAAATTTATCTTTAACAAATTAGGATTTCAATTTAAGTGATCTTTATAGAATAGCACAATCTCAAGTATAAGCACGTTGTTTTGTAAGTTTCAATCCAACTACAAGAAGTTTTGAAACCCTTTTCATGGCATTAGGTAATAAAATAAGATTTTTTATTAAATTCATTTTTTTAGTTAGCTTTAGGTTCCTAATTATAATTATTTTAATATAGATAAGAATTTAAAGTGTTTTGTATTAAAAGATTTATTTTGCTTAAATAAGAACTTTTAGCTTAAAGTGATTTTTGAAGTTTGAAGCTGTAATTTCTTTAAAAAATGAAAAAATAAATAAGAAATAATTTAATGTTTTTATTTATTTATGGAAGAAATACAATACATAAATATATAAAAATAAAGATAATACCAATATATAAGAAAAACACTTCTGAAGCAAAAAAAATAGCAATTTCATTATGTGAGAATCAAGGTGAAAGAAAGAAATGATTTGATAAACCAAAGGTTAAAAATATTAATTTTTCTATTTTGGAAAAATTAAATATTAAAAATAAGAGTTAATCAAACATAACACAAATGTGCTAAATAAAAGACTTAAAAAATTAAGCATAAATAATGAAGCAATTTGTAACTTCAAGTTAGGCACCATATTATTACAAGTTGTAGAATAAATATTGAAATTTTAAGTACTATCCTTAGATAGTAGCAATGCTAAACAAACAACTAAAAAACTTCATTCATTTCTATTTGCATTTTTCGTAAGTAAGTTTTTGAAACTTTATTAATTTGAATATTAATGATACAAAATGTCTTAAAGAAGAATTCATAGCAAGAGGTGTTCTGCCAAATAAATAAAAAAATATGCTAGTAGTTCTCGAATAGAATAGAAATTTCATTGAACAATGATTCACATATGATTGATTTCATATTCCTACTGTCCTACCTTGTGTGTAGAGACGTGTGTGTTTACGTAGACATACATATATATATATATATATATAGATGTAATATCACTTTTTCTACTTACTTTTAACAAATTTTTATTAATTCTTTAAAACAGGAGCCAATATCAACGCAACTGCACCTTGTCCAATGGCACACATGAAATAGGGTATATAAATAGCATTTCATGTTGTATTGCTGTACACTTCAAAATAAAACACTAAAAGATACTACAATTAACTCAGAAGTTTTCATTATCCACACAAGAATGAAACATGACACAAAGAGTAAAAAGTTTACGTTTGGTTCAAATAGACTCCAAGCATGGAAAAAGGTTTTACATGAGAATTTCAGTTCTTCGGACAATCCACAATAGCAGAGGTTTCAACCCATATCTGAATGAAAGGTCTAGGTTTACTGAGATTGACGAGAGCTTTGCACAGTTTCAAACCTGCGAGATATCAATGATTTGTGTAGGGATTTCTCTGGAGGTACATTTTAAGTATCAATTGATTGTAACAAAGATCACCTAAATTACAAATCCAAGGGTAAGTGAAGAATTCTTGCCCTCTATGTTGTGAGAGGTGGTTCTATTTAAGTATAATACTGAAGTTAATGATGCATTCGGCACCCAAATTCGACGCCGAGAAACTGGTTCAGTCATCTTTAGCCCAAGCAGGCCCATAGATAGCCACATGCGTTCGCCCATATCGCCTATCCCTAATCTTCACAAGAGGACCACAAGTCTCCGGCATCTCTCGCTTGGACTTGATTGGATACTCAACCACGATGCAGGTATCCTCCTTGACAAGTGGAGAGTCAGAAATCTGCTGCATGAGTTTTGAAAACACAACTGCTTCGTAGGGTGGTGTCACACTTATGTAGTCAAATTGGCCGCCAAGCAAGCCAGCGCCATGTTCAGCTACCTGATCCAGTAAGGTTTCCACGGGGGAAGTGTGCACAACAGCTTGGTCTTGAAAGCCAGTCACTGCTAAATTAGGGTTTAGCACTTCATCAATAACCCAGGGATCCATCTCTACAAAATATGCCATTTCACAGCCCCTGCTAAGCGCCTCAATCCCAACAGATCCCGTGCCGCTGTAAAGGTCTAACCACCTCCCGGGTGGTAACTGCGCAGCGCCTCCCCCCAGTGCCTGCAATATGTTGAAAACCGCACCACGTACAATTTCCATCATCGGCCGCACATTCAAGTCTGCCGGAGATGCTAATTTTCTACCGCCTACTTTGCCTGCCATTACCCTTAATAGTTTGTGGGTGAGCCTGGGGGCATCTTCCACTTTAATTGGTTGTGGCTTCACCTCAATACCTTGTCTCTCCTGCTCCAGTTGTTGCCTCAAACGCACTGGAACCTGCACATCTGCTACTTCTAGCATTTTCTCTGTGGTGTCCAGATCGATTTTCCAGCCATCATCGATGTTGAACACCTCCTCATCCACCACTGTCGGCTTTTTTCTTCTCCTGCTTGAGCTCTTCTCAGAACCTGGCGAATTGCGGCGGGAGGCGGCGCACTGGACGGGAAAGCGACGAGAGCACGAAACAGAACAGCAAAGACTTTCCTGCTTGACGTAGCTGGGAGGCGGCAACGCCGAATTGAATCGACCACATGGTACTGACGACAGCAATACCGACGACATTGCGCAGCTCTGCGCATACGGAACCAAAAGACATGGTGGGAGCCACGAATTACATGACACGTCTGGCTATCAGTCCACGCCTCACACTAGAAATGGCTGCTCACGCTAGACAAGGCACCACGTTGAACTTTCCATGACCCAAATTATCAGCAAATTTCAATGACCCAGACTCAAATTTCTAACCAAACTAAACACAACCACGAAAAAAGAAGAAGTGCAGCAACTTGGCCACAGTTTCGTACATCCTAAGCTCACCTCACACGCCCAAGCTCACCTCTAGCCAGCTACAAAATTCGCATAAGCCGCTAGCGAAGTAATACATACCAGTAAACCACACAGACGATAAGCAGATAGACACAACTCGATAGATGCTTACCGACACAAAGAAAAACAATGACGACGATATCCAGAGCACGACAACAGAATCCCCGTTCACGAAGCTGCTTGCATGGCTTCCTCCGAGCAATCCATTAAAACCCAATCCGCTAAAACCCTAGCCTGAAGCAAAAATCCAACCTGGAATAAGAAATGTGCTATCTCGCGACGGATATCGTCACAGGGATACTTATTGGGAACAGAGCAGAAGAACATGGGGAACACGAGAAGAGCGCGGGGACTTCACTCTTCGCGGCAAAGCTATGGTCGGCAGTTTAGGCCACCTTCAATTGGGGTTGATTGATTGAGGGGATTGCCGTGAGAAAGCATCAGCAGCCCTCGCAAGAAGTTTTTCGAGGTTGGAGACGTCATTTGGTTTGTGGGTTCATCTGTTTTCTCAGGGTAATTCCTTTTACAGGATTCTGTTAGATTCTGCTTCGGGAGTCGGTAGGTTGGAAGAATGATGTGTGGGGCATAGGAAAGGGACGAGTTCGAAGGATTTGGAGCGACTAGGTGTGGTGTAGAGGCGGTTTGGTAGACTTTGTTTGGAGTTTTAGTAGGATCGGTGGTTGATTGATTGCTCTGCGAGGTTTTTGGCTGCTGGAGCTGGGAGACCATTTCCGTGTGTCGCTATGGCCGACGAGCAAATTTCCAAGGAGATGGCCTCGAAACTTGTTGTCGGTGAGGCTGCGGTGAGTTCCTCCGCGGAGCCGGATGTCGTTTTGGAAGGATGGTCGACGAGAGTAGAGGATTTGCTGGACGAGGGCGACGAGGCAGGGGCCGTGAAGGTGCTGGAGGGTGTTATTGCCAAGCTCTCGGTTTCGAAGAATGCCGCCTCCAACTTAGGCCTTGCCGTCGCGATGAGCGACCTGGCGAGGCTATACGGATCTCGGGGCATGTCACTAAAGGCCGACGAGCTTCTCAGCGAGTCCCTGCTCATCAAGAAGAAGGCCGAAGAAGCTTCTTCTGTCGATAATCTCTCATGGTGCATATCTTCGCGCTCTCATGAATTGCTTGGAATTAGGTTCCGTTGAGTCCCTCCAAGTGTTGGAAACACGACCTAGGAGTCGAAGAATCGGTGACTTAATTGGGGAAGTTTGCAGTCCATGTGATTAGGTCTAGATTGACGCGTTCACGGAATTGGTTGCTTTACAGGGAAGATGCAGCTGACGAGAATCCAAGCAGGAAGGTTACTGTCGAGCAACCGGCGAAATCTGGAAATATGCAGGAGAATTCCGACAGAGTGCCTGGAGCAGGGTTCCCAAGCACTACTGCCATGTCTGATGAAGAAGGTGACGATCCTGCGTCCTTGTTCTGCAAACTGCAGTTCAATTGTCTCTTTCTTTCTTTCTTTCTTTCTTTCTTTCTGTGTTCTATTCTTTTGAATTTTTTTCCTCTCGGTGGGAGAATTTGACATCCGGCAAATCTCAGATTGGGAAGCTGCTGTCCCGACCTTGCTGGCATCACCAAATTTACTGTCACCAGCTGTGAAGAAAACGCCGGTGAAGGTGAAGGAGAAAGAGACCCCGAAGCAACGTGGACGGGGAGCATTCACATATGGTGGTGGCGGCAACCTCTACAGCGATCAATTCGATGAGGACGGTGCCACCCACGAACGGCTCAACCTAACCACCTCCGACCGAGCCAACGACCATTGTACGTTTCTCGTACACAAGGCAAGCCCTAAGAAAACTAGAGATCATGCATGCCTCGAGATCAGCTTAGTCACCCGTTTAGCATTTCAATCCTACAACAACGAATGCACAATTGATGTGTAGATTGTTGCGAATTGCAGGGGATGGCGGTGCTGAGCATGTGCTTCTGATAGACGGATTCTCGCCACTGATAAAGACAAAGGACTTGGAGGACCTACTGAGACCTTATTCTGGGCAAGGAGTTAGTATTCGTTGGATTGACGACACAAGTGTGGCAGCTGTGTTCCGCACACCTGCCCTCGGTAAGTCAGTAGCTCCCAAACGCTAATATTCTCATAACCTATTCGTTGCACTGGTCTTGTTATCTTTCTGTTTAGCTGAGCGTCTTTGTATTTTGTGTCTATCCTTGTCTGCAGCGCGACAAGCGTTGGCAGGAATTCGTGATCCGCGGTTCAAGGTGCACAAGTACACCGAGGCAGGTGCAGGCCTCAGCCAGCCGATCTCCTTATCGATATCAGGTGCGTGTGATTCCCGTTTATCAACTCAAGTGCTTGCTTCCGAGACGTTGATTGTGGATTTTGCAGACTTGTCACTTTGGTGAATCTAATGCTGTTCGTTGGCTTTGTTGCAGATTTGGAGCCACCAGCTCCGAGGCCGGCCACTACTGCAAGAGTAGCACAGCGCATGATAGCAGGAGCTCTGAGCAGACAAGGGATCAGCAGCCAAAACCTGCGGGCGAAGACAAAAGCCAATGCACAGCAGGCATTGCACCTGGAGGCTGAGAGGAAGCAACGGTTGCTCCAACGGCAGCAATTGCGTGACGAGGCCTGGGGCGATGACTAATTGCAGAGCAGCTTTTTTTGTGTCTACAATCTACACCTCCAGAAAATGTAAATTATGCAGCAGCAGCCATGAGCTAAGCCCTTGGATATATACTTTTGTTGGACAGTGCAATCTCAGCAGAATAAGTTGCAAATAAGAGGAACTGAACTTCTCCAGGAAATTGTGCACATAACGTGGGTCTCATCTTTTTTATTTTCCTGCTGTGTTTTGCAACTTCATACCTGTGCTGTTGTTGTTCATTGCAAGATGTCTAGTGTGCAAGTAAAGCTGAAAACTGAATTGTTGGCTCTGGAAGCTCATCGTCAGCATCCCTCACTTTCCAGTTTGCTTGCACCGTGATTCCATTCCTGGTCGCCAAACTTAGTATCGTCACTTCTTTCCAAGAGGAGATCCAAACCTTCTTAATTGGCAAATCCTGCTACAATAATTTGGGTAATTCCTTTGTTAAGCCGAAGGAAAATGAGAATTATTAAGAGGAGAATGGGCGAGTGAAAGTTCACCAAAGAATTGAGATCAATTATGAGATCAATCAACATCAAAATCAATTATAAAAATATAATTTTGGAAGGGTATAGAGGGGGTGTAACATTTCAAGAATATAAGTATGATGGCACTAATGGTGGACCTAAATTATATGCATACGAGATAGAAGGTTATAATAGTTATTATATAGCAAATAGAAAGAATTGTCTCTACATCAACAAATCAACAAAAGAGTTGAGGAAGGCATCAAAGTTTCTTTAATTCACTATTTTATTATCATTCTACATGGCTTTTCTTCAAGTTATAATTTTTGTTTTGTTTTTTAAATTATTATAGTAAATACTTTGATAATTGCTACTTTAAAATAATAATTTTTAACTTTTGAGATGCATTTTTACATCAATTGTGTATATATATATACAAAATTGATGTAAAGATTAACCTCTTTATTACTAATAACCTGCAATAATTAATCATTCTTCTAGAAACTAATTCTATTCTATGGTGCATAATTAATAGTATTTAATTTCTAATAATTAATTGATTTTTATTAATTAACAAAAGTGAATAATAGAAGATTTTGTAGCCATGTGATTTTGCAAGACAAGGCTATGTGATTGGCATGGCAAAAGCAATCAATCTAGATTGTAGGGCCATGGCAAGAATGATTGCTTTAAGTGTGCCACCACTTATGATAAGTAACCTATAAAAATCAATATTTTTTTGTGGCAATAGATGATATTAATTAATGGTGGGAATATTGTGTGTATATATATTTATATATGTATACATTATGCAAATTTTTAAAGCATGTGATAAATTTTTATTCTTTAATATTTTTATTTATTAAACATCTTAGATGATTTGAAATAGTTGAATTGAGTTTGTTTATCAAACAATAAATTAAACAAACAAACAAACAATGAACAAAAAAAATTATTTATTTATTTCTTAAATGGTTAGTGGTCTTATCATGCATAATAAGATTTACTTCTAATGGATTTTTCACTTTTTCTTTTAATTAGACAAATAAAAAGATATTGTTGCATATAATAACTAATTATTTTACATTTTTGTATAATAACTAATAAAATTCAAAGTAATTATCCAAAAATAATAATAATAATCTTCTAAAATATTCCTATTAAACAACAATATCAATTTACTGACAATATTTACCACCAATTTATTTATTTACATGTCTCTTACAAAACTCTAAGTAAATATTTGGAAAGTCACATATTAAGAAGACATGCAATATGTATTTGTAAAAAAAATATGTGCAATTTAGATTTTTCTTATTTAGTGATATTAGCATTTCAAATTAATCATGAAATCTCACAATCTAAGAGTATAATAATTTGATACAAGAAATAGCTATTAGTATGTGAACAATATCTTACAAAGATACTATAAGACAATAGATGGTTTCCAATTTTTAGTTCTTGTCTTTGGTTTGGACGGCTCAAATATAATCAATATATTTATTATGTAAACAATAAACTCATTCAAGAATCTTACTATCCAAAGCATTAAATATATAATTACACCAACTATCTTCTTAATAACAATTTCAAAGCAAATAATAATATTTTCTTTAGGCAAGTATGGTCTGAAGATGTAAAAACTTATTTACGTCTAAGTTAATGACTATTTTTGGGTTTTTAAACATAATTTTTCTTATACAATGGAAGTTAAACAACAACTTAATTTCAATACCACCATTCTAAAAATCCTAGTATGAAAAATATACTAGAAAGACTAATTAATAAGATATATGATGTTATACTTATGTTAAAAATGTGTACCTGTGGAATATTCTATCGTATTTTAATAAACCAACAATTATATACAACAAATTTAGAGATATAAAATATTACACAAAAATTAATACGTGATAAAAATTAAAAATAATTAAAAATAAAAACACATCTTTTCTCTCTTAAACCATTCAAATGTGATTTGATGGACCACATCTTTTCTAATACACATATTTTATCCTTAACTATTCTAAATGTCATGAACAAACCATGTCAACCAAAAAAAATCCTTGGAAGTATGTTTAAATGTTAAAAAATAATAAAATAATAAAATAGAATAGTAATTGAGAATTTTCACTATTCAATCCAGAAGAACATTGTCCAACTTGAGTGCAAAAAAAATTAAAAGTTTCTATTACTCAATAAAACAAAGTTGCATAGTTTGCATATTCATACACGTACACACACTCATCACATCTTTTTAAAATTCAAGCATTGAAACAATTCTCTGTTGCATTGGACTTTCTATAAGCATTGACAATAGCATACCTATGCATGAAAATTCCATACTATCAAAAATTTGTAGTAACAAACATAGAAATAAGAATTAAGTACAAAATGTTTCTATTGAATTATAAAAATAAATGAATATACATTATCCATAATGATCACGTATAAAATTTTCTGATAAAACACAATAAAATATAAAACCCCAATTTATTTTTTACTTATTCACAAAAAAATTGCTGCTATTGAATGTTTTTGAATTAAAAAAAATGTATCATAATCTTTATTTTATTTATAGTAAATTTTTTCTATAAGAAGTGAAAGACTTAAATACAAAAATATAATGTTTTGTCATCAATAAATGTGAATTGATTAAAAGTCCAAATATATTCTTCTCCCATAAAGTTTGTTTATTACACAATATGTATGACACATTTACATTTTAAAGTTTACCATGACACAAGAAATTAATATCCAATTTTGAATTACCCAAATCATATTAAATCTAAAACAAAATTGACCTTGGACTATCCAAGACATGATTTGCATTTTTATATGGCTGACTGTGATATAAATATCTATATATATATATATATAGATATAGTCTTAGATACTCATTCTAATTAGATAAAAGTGAATAATAAACCTATCCAAAAAAATTGAAGGTAATTGAATAATATAGTTTCTTGTGGTGCTACATTATTGTTTTTTTCGATTACATCAAATTGTTTAGGTAAATACAAAGACATCATCCACACCATTTAATATGATGATTTTAGAATATACCTTCTAATTTTTGTAATTTATTAATAAATCTATAAATGCATTTATAGAAATACCCTGCTGTCAAGAAAAAAGAAAAAGAAATTGTTTCGACATGATCCTTTGGACATGTGTCCATCAAAACATATGAACCTTCTAAAATAAGGATTCGAATAAAATAAAATAAATAACATTTAGCACAACATAACATCCAAGTATTCTCTCTTTAAACAAATTACAATTTTAGTTTCTTTCATTTGTTTTATCTCTTGAGATCCAAATAAATGTAGTGGATGTTGATCAACTAGTACATCATAATTTAGCTCAATCAATCACATTGCAAGACAAATAATAATAATAATAATAAATTCTAAAGATTTTTTTTGAATTAAGACCCATGTAAACTCCATAGCTCCCCTTGAGGTGAGGATAGTGAATAGACAAAACTTAGAGTTTGTACTAATCAGTTTCAAATTTTGGTCAAATCACATGTCAATCACATATTTAACTCTTAAACCCATCAATGATGCAGCAGTGGTGGTGCTGCCCCTTGTATTATTATTATAATAATATATAATAATATAGAGGGTTTGAATTTGAATACATTGAAAAAATAACTGAAATGAAATTTCATATCTCCTAAATTTAATACCAATAATTTTTTCGTTTAAATGTTTTCAATAAAAATAGACAAAAAATGCATAGATAACGTTTTGGATAAATAAAGTAGTAAATACAATGTTCAACACTTGATAATATAGTAAGTAACTGATTTTCTGAATAAAAACAGTATGTGGTATCAATGTCCATTAAGCAGAAAAAAATTCAAAGTTCCCGAAATGTTAAAAATTTCGTAATTAGTTATATAGTCAACATTGTCATCATTGTCTTTCATTTAATATAGTTTTAGTAAGAACATTTGGTAAAGAATAGCCGCAAAATACAATTTCTTTTAAAATGTAGTTGTTAGCATAACATATCTGATATGTTATGGCATATCTTCTTAATAAGTAATAACAACACACACACACACACACACATATATATATATATATATATATAATTTGGAAATTGATAAAAGCGAATTAGAAAGTAAAGTTTTAAGATAGACCCACCACATCTTTTATTTCCAAAACTCATTATCTGCTCCAATATCTTAAGAAATTTACTTGGAAATTAAAACCGTTTAAAAAAACTACTTTTAATGATTTTTTTTTTAATTTAAAAAATGAGATCACATATTTTACACTATAAATGAAAAATTAGAGCAAGATTGCACTACGTTTCAGAAACCACACGAGGAACGCAATTTGAGAATTCTCTCCCATCACAGCTCCTCATGTTCTCGTTCATACATTCTCCATTCATCCATTATCATCCACATCCATCCACAAAACCACAATACATCCACCCGACGAATCACTCATCCATCCAAAGAGTTCCAAAATTGCGCGAAGCTGAGATTGGCGCCAAAACCGGAACTTGGCGCCAAAGCGGGATCATGGTGGAGTTAATGGCAGAGCCCTTGTTGGTGCGGAACTCGCTTACTCACTCTGCTCTGCCCTGCTCTGCTCACGTTTCTGACAGGGATGCGTATCGGATATGGTGTGACAGGTGACGGAGGGGGAGGAAGAAGTGGAAGACTTGGAGGAGGAGGAGGAGGATTTTGACGCATTCTCGGCATCGTATCGAGATTCCAATGCGGATGAAAAAAGACTTTTACTCAGTCTGCACAAAACCCTAAACCCTTCTGGCCACTCTTTTCTTCCATTTGTAACTGTTTGCTCGATTGCTACGGATGCCCTTGTCTGTACCTGAGCAGCGACGACTGCTCTGCCGTTTCTATAGCGGAGCTTGTTGACCAAGCACTGCAAAACCCTCCTTGTCAATCTGGAAGTATGATTGTGAATTGCCTGGGTGATGTGCATAGGGTCGACCCAGTGATTTGCTCGGATTCGTGGACAGTGTCGAGTGCCGTGTTGTTGTTTGGTGATCTGGAGTTATCGAAGGATGATCGGAAGTGGGGTTCGGAGACCTTCGCAGGAAGGCTCTTGACCATCTTGTGATGGCCACGCTGTCCACATTTTTGACATTACTGAACATGAATCAGTGTGGTTTTGTGAGTCGTGTAGTAAATCTGGTGGTTAATCTTTTGTGTTGATTTGATTAGAAGGGGACTCCTCCTCGGAGCTTGATACCGTGAGTAAACCAAAGAACCCCCTTAGCTTTGGCACCAGATCTGAAATATGCAAAATAAGAAAAGAATGAAAAAATCAATGAATAGGAAGTCAAGTAAGCTGATGGAGGAGTCTTCTGCGGAGGAATTTCTGGCTGCAGAGTTGAGAGTGATGAAGACGTCCAGCAAATTGGTGGAGGACCCATCAGTGTAAGAGCCCTATGCTGTACAAGAAAGAATCGAGATCTCATTTCTAGACCCTTACGAGACGACGATGTTTCTGGATTAAGAGGGTGATTTGTATTGTTTGGTTTTGTTTTTTTCTGAGAACTTTAGTGGTAACCAAAATTTTAATGACAGTGAGCATATCCCTTGCGCCCAGTAGATGTTAAATTAGGTAGTGGAATTCACAAAACTAAGAGACCACTCTACAGCAAATATTTTCCTTAGACTGTACAGTGTTGTGACTCCATATAAAGCAGGATCTTCGCTCTCCATGTCGCTTGTTAGTATCCAGCGAACATTTTTAGCGGTTTAAAGCACCAATACTATAAACATAGTAAGGGCTATTGCAAGATATGAGAATTGCTGTACGCGCTTACACAGCAATTCTCATATCTTGCAATAGAAACGATTCTCAATCATAACAACCTCTTTAACTTCAGAGTCGTCGACAATTACTCGACACGTATTTCAGACATGTATAATACAAGACCTTGGCCACATCCTCGATACCCTACTAACAGCACCCATGGTTTATATTCTTTCGAAAAATCATTAAGTCTGAATTGATTGATTGCATACTTTTCAGAACACGTTCGAGAATTTTTAATATTTTTAACAATTGTTTTACAGTTCCCAATCACTGCCTCAACTAAAGTAATTATAGCAATTAGTGTAGCCACGCAATCAGAAGATGAAAAAAGGTGGACAGGAACTGTTTCGAATTGAATTGCCGTGAGGTCGTTGTGGGCCCCAAAATTATAAATTTAGTAAATAAAAATTGCACGAGTACCTCCATTTTTTGTGAAGCTGAGAAATACCGGAGAGACCATTCCTGCAGGTCCTCTGCCGGAAAGTATACTCATGAGCTCGTTAGTGACGTTTGTCCGCCGCAATGCAAACTCCTTTTAGGTTGCCGCCCACTAACCCTGGTGGTTGCTCGAGCGAGCATTCTCTGCACTAATGGGGGTTTGCTGAACCTGGGACTCTTCTCAGTGATTTGTTATCGATGCTCTATTCCGATTGAAGTAAGTATGCATTTGATAGGGCACGGCAGGTGGACGCAAGGCAGGGGATAATGCATTGTGGCTTGGAGCTACAAAACCTCGTAAGTTACTTAGTCCTAGACGCTGTTTCTCCGACTCTAGGTTTCGATGGATTCTACTGTTTTCTGGAGCTTTGTTTCGTGGGGTGCGAGGGTTTGATGGGTCAACTAGAAATCGATCAATAGAGCAATTGTATGCCATCGTCAAGTCATCGAGAAGCCGCGCCGCTTCGAAACATAGAGTCTTCAACATCATTCCGAATTGCGCACGTAGAACGAAAGATAGAAGTCGTTGAGCATTTGTCGAAGTTGCCATCATTGTCGTGGACTCCGTATGTTGTATCTAGTTGATCGGAAGCTAGAGTTTAGTGGAAATCTGCTTGGTAGCATCGTTTTCACTGAGCTTGAGACACGTTCGACCAAATCTGCAGATTTTCCTGTCCCACTTTGATAAGCACTGATGGAACCACAGCCGCGGCTTTCTGGTCACTCAGTTACCGCTATCAAACGTGGCCAGAAGAGAAAATCCATCTCTGCTCGGCAACCAACTTCGTCCAGAGTTTCTATTCCTGCAGAGGACGCGCCGAACAAGGGGTACATAGGAGTTCGATGGCGGCAGTACCCTTACGGCATCAGATTCATTCCTCGTGTGCGAGTGCCCAAGACTCGGTACGATCTCCCTCTCGGCGAGTACCGCTCATGTGAAGAAGCAGCGCTAGTTCGTGATGTGGCAGCATATTATTACGGCAAAAAAGGAGCTTTCAATTTCAAGAATGATTATTCTAGCTTCCTCCCGGAGATTTCTCCACAGCTCTCTCGCCAAGAGAAGATCGACTGGGTGTCCGCTTGCGCGAAGGAGCGCGGCAGGACCTTGTTTCCCAAGCCTCTCAACACTCTACCTCTCAACACTGTACCTCCAAACACATCTCTCAACACCTCTTCATCCTCCTCTCACCCCTTAAAGTTACCCTTGCCTCCACCCCAATCCTTGCCACTATCTTTGCCATTTGGTAGTCATCCTCTTGTCACTGCAAAAACAATACCAGGGGTCACGATCGCAACAAGCAGCCATGTACAGAAGCCTTGGACGAGTACTTCCGTAGCTCCATTACCAATAGAAAGCTTCGCGTTTTGTTGTCTGCAAGGACGGAAGCATGAAAGTTAAGTGATTCTTAGTGCCTCAATACCTTGCTTTGAGTGGAACTTCCAAGGAGCTTCAACGATAAACCCGCTGTCATCTTTCGCAACTATCTACACCTGTGGAATTCATTAGATACAGGACTAAGAGCTGTAGAGAGGTTACAAATTCTCTAGCTCTGTTTGTAGGCGTAGGTGCAACACAATGGAACTGAAGAACTGAGAGTACCCTTTTATATATATTTATATATGGAACTTTCTTCCTGAAGTTCTGGCATCTTATGTAGCACTGCCATTGTCTGCAGCAGTTGTACTTCAGTGGCATATTCTACAAGCAGAATTGCACAATCTTGTCACCGAAAGCAAATATTTCTTTATCCCGCATAGACACTGCGGACAGTGTTCAGTGTAGAAACAAATTTCGGTTCACACCATTACAACACACTACTTGGACGCTGGACTTATGCTACACTTAGTAGCCTGAACCTGAAATCAAAGTTGAGAGCAGGTACACCGAGTTGCTTAATCATACACATACAGAGACACAGGAACACTCAATCTCCCAAATCCCATTACGCGCTTAGCTTGGCCTTGAATCGCTCAATAAGAAAGATAATTACAGAGAGAAGGTTCACTAATGCAAGAATCTCTACGAGAATCTATTATTTTACATGTATACATATGACACATTCATTAAGTTTCACTAAATTAAAGCTTTGCTTCCAACCGTCGACCTATAGATTCAGTCAACCTAGTTAGGATGTATCACGAAATGGTTCGAAGTAAAAACCTCCTCTCGCAAGCAGTGTAATGAGATGCCCACAAAGCGGCCCCATTTGTAAGTCATCAACTCAAGCATTGTGAGGAAAGATTGCATAGCTGTGAAAATGGCAGTGCTTACTTCTTCTCAGTTAATTTAGGGTTTGGTCTGTGATACTTGAGATAACCGTCTTATTAAATTCCTGCCCTCAAGCATATCGAGTTCCGCACCCTGCCAATTACCAAGGAGTTAGACAGGAGGACAAAATAACATGTTTCCTCATCTAACCAAAAACTGCATCCGATAAAAATCTTCAGTCATGTTATGGTCCGTACTAAAACATTTGATCCTCATATTGAAACAGCCTCTACTCTTGTAACTACAATGCTTTTTGAATATTTATGCAGAAAACCACATGGATAGATAGCTAGCCAGCAACAAATACCTTTCAGAGAATTTAACGGCCGTGTCATCGAGTTTGATACTCATCAACCGTATATTACACCATTGCTCAAGACATCATCAACCGCACCAGATGCATTGTGAGTGATGTCTTGAGCTCAGCCACAGAAACACGAAAATCTAAGGATAAAGAACCCAAAATAGGTTTGTGTTCATCAGACGGATCGAAGAAAATGTAGTAAATGTAACCATCTTTGAGACATTGACATCCCCACCATCTTTCAACCGTTGAATTGTTGTGCCAGAAGAATCACAGTGTTAACACCAACCAATCACTTGGTGAAGTTCACAAGCTTGGTCGAATGAAAGTAAAAAGAACTCACAGGATTTGCAGATCCATTGACAAGTAACAAAAACTCTTCTTTGTCTTGGTTTTTGAAAATTTGTCGAAGAAAGCGGCTTCGTTCGGCATGGAACTGCTCATGGATGGCGACTCTGTGAGAAGATAACTGTTTGCCGTGATGGATCGGAGAATAGGATCTGATGGGAAATAGAATTAGAAATTGGAGTCACATCGAAAGGGGACACAAGATGATCTTCCAATGCCATGGCTCTGGAGCATTAGTCTTGAAACATCAATTAAACGATTCCTGTACTGCACTTAGGATAGAACGTAAAAAGAAATTCGACGCTTACGCTAAGATAGATTAAGAAATTGTGACTGTTTGCAAGCGTAGCCGATTATGGTCCCTCCTTCACTGAGCACTTGTGGAATGTCTAACAAGTCCCACCTGCAAGTCATCACCAACGACTTTGTCTCAAATTCATACAAGGACAAAAAACCAGCCGATGAGAAAAAAATAAAATAAAATAAAATAAAATAAATCTTACAATCACATTATGTTGTCCACGCAGATCACTGAAGAATCTTCATCCTCATTGTGCAGAGAAAATCGGCCTCGTATTCATCGCTACTGTACTTCGCCGCCTCCCCCATTAACGCCCGCTGCACTACTCTTCAAATTCTTCCCATTCATGCTCTCCAGCCGCTCCATCGCCTCTCAACCAATCCAAAAATAAATAACCCTAATTCTCTACTCACAAATCCAACACCACATGGTTGAGTTCGAGCAAACAAATCCTCGAAGTATCCCTCTGCCAGGAAGAATGCCACCACGGGTAGAAGCTTAAGCTGCAGAGCGCAAATTCGCCAACAAAAATCTGAACGAAACTTGCAGCTCAACTATGCGAAGACCAGCCTGCTACAGCCATTCAATCAATCAAAAGCTGCTAACCTTGATGAAAAGAGCAAAACTGCACAGGATCACACCACCAGATGAAACACTTGAACACATGGACCTCCGAATTGGAGCTCGCACAAGACGCCCGAGTCATTGATAGTTGTTGAATTCGATGCAAAATCACGAGCATTTCTCTGGGCGGCCATTCTGAAATGAGTCCTGCAGGGCTGTCAAGGTTTGTCTCCTTCACAACTGATTAGGCTGACAAAATTACTATGAACGCTTTTGCGCGGGCTACATTTTTTTCATAGGAAATTGCGCGCAGCAACTTGAATCTGACCCTAGAGATTGTAGATTTCGTGGTAGAATCTACGTAATCGATGCTCGTTGGGAGCCTGTAATAAATTTCCGGTCGAGAGCCGTCTTCCCCCCCTTTTTCACTTTGAATCTCGAACTGGAGGATGTGTGTGACGCATCTCATTTTTCCGGCCTTTTGCTTTTGCTGACTTACAGTTCAGTTACAGTGTGTGGTGATTCAATGGCAGAAGGGACGAGAGTGCGTGAAATCATCATTTGATCGAATATTTTTAGTTGTATGTGGTTTTGCAGAGTCAAGTAACTTTTGCAGTGTGAAGAGTATTGGCGAAGCTTGTGCCAAAGCGTTCTATTTTAACCGATTGCGAGTTTGCGTGAGTGTGTTTGCTAGAGCGTTGCTGGAGTGTGCTCTGAGATGTAGTTGTCTTCTGAGGGCATTGATTCGGATTGTGATGGATACCGGCCCCAGAATCGTTTGGAGACGATTCGTTTGAGTAGCTTGAGCTGCGAGATGGTTAGTGATTGGTAGGAAAGATGTTTAGGGAGGTTGGAAGCAGGATTTCTATGAGGTGATGGTGAGCCGCGATTGTAGAGTGGTTTGGGAAAGACAGGGTTGCAGAGTGGGCGCACACGCGCAGTTGTTGAGAGAGACAGTGCGAGCGAAAGAGGGCAAGATGGAGTGTGAACTGTCCGGAAACCAAATCAAGAGTCTGAACAGAGCAGTGAATTGTCTGTATCGTATCGGCAGTGAGCTACTCATCGAAGTACTTCCTGACAAGGTGAGCATGCGATTGCTGTTTTTTCCGTTTCAAGTTTCGAATGTTATTCAGCACGGATTGTTGTTGCAACAAGCCTGCTCGATTACGTGACGAGTATTGAGAGCTGACAGTGAGACATGGATCACAGTTATCGCTTCGCACTCTCAATTCAGCATGGTCGGCCTTTCTGTCGGTCACTTTCAAAGGCCATTTCTTCGACGCTTATCGTGTTCATACGCCGAATGCTGCTTGCAGTGTTCTGCTGAAGGTGACATTCTCTGCCAAGTTCGATCACTTTTCCAACAATTATGCTAGGATTTAATTTACTTAACACCTGTTTGACTTGGTTTTGCAATTTCATTCCACTTACAGTGAGAGCCTCCATCAGTCATCAGATTAGTTTGTTCGATAATGAAGGCCTCGCGTTGTCGTTGGACGATCATGTGGAACGACATGATACCATAGGTTTGTATTTCTGCAGTCTGTATGCACCGTGTTCCGGACGCCGACTAGCAGTATGGAGAAATTGACCATTACCTTGGCAGACAAAGATGCAAGCAAGCTCCAGTGGACTATCCAATGTTTAAATGGTAAGTTGTCTACTTCAAACCTTACTTGTAATTTTTACTCTGCTTTGGAAGTCTTTCAATTATGTTTTTCAGCATTGCCAGTATATAGACTCAAATTTTCACTTAAGATTTAACGGCCTTGTATCAGTTCTATTCAATCTCTAGTCATTCATGTTTTTGGTATGAAATGAGCTGAGACTAAGAATATGAATTAGTATTAGAACATCCACTCATGAATGTTCCACTTGAATGTAGCACGTAATCAGCGCTCGGGAAAGATGTCCTCTGGGTTATCGAATTGGTAATTCGCAGTCATGATTGATTTGAAGTATTCACACAAAAATCAATTTGCATAGGCTCATTGCATTTCTAGATGGTTGCGTATCAGATATTAACTATTCAGATAAATGACAGTGAATTTTTGGTACAAGAGCACTGCAGGGCGTTCATTTACAGAAATAAAATTCACAGGACGTCTGGTTTACCGCTTAGTATTCATGTGCAGGAATCAGGAAAACATACGGAATCACCTGTAACAATGACACTGAAATGCAGAATGTGCTGTTGGAGCGGAATTCCTTTCCTAGTCATTTGGTTATAAAGCCTAAAGATCTTAGCAGACTTTTGGGACATTTTCAGTCTTCTCTCCAAGAGATGACATTGATAGCAACGGAACCAGTAACTATTGACATGGGCTCTGAAAGTGAAGCAAAAGCGATCGAATTGAAGAGTTACATTGACCCTGCAAGAGGTAAACGTTCATGCATTCTTTCAGTCCTTCCCGTTCACATGTGAGGCTGGATCATATATCAACTTACGCATGATATAGGACTTTGATCTACCCACTCCAGCAAGTATGTGGTCTTATTGTGGTATCGGTTTGTTCACATAAGTACTCATTGTCAATGTGTTACTCTTGCTGTAAGCCTATTTAACTCTACTTCTGTGCAGTGTCTTATGCATACGGTTCTCAATTTGGTTGCTCACAATCTTTCTGTGAAAGTGCAGTAACGACAGATGGGTCTCTTCATACGCAGCTTTGGATTGACCCTTCTGAAGAATTGGCAGCATACACGCACAAGGGTCCGCCAGTAGATGTGACTTTCAGTGTCAAAGAATTGAAGGTATAGTCATTATCCATGACTTAGTTGAGTTGGGTCGTTTCCAGGTTCTAGTTTCGATGTTCAGATGTATTAGCTAGCTTCCATTTTACATGCTCTACTTTCACAAAATATCGCATGCGTTGGACAACTACATTACTCAACACAAAGTATCCACAGGCATTTATGGCGTTTTGTGAAGGAGCGGATGCAGATATGCATATGTACTTTGACAAAGCTGGCAAGTAGGTTTTCTATTCCTCATGCTTTGTTCCTTGAGGTTTAACTGTGTTAGCGACAAAATAACTTCTTCGTATTCTGGTATGCATGATTCCACTTCAGATGATATTTTTATTCTTTGAATTTGAATATTTTTGTCACGAGAGTTGAAAACTTGGTCTGTTGAGCCACTGATCTCGCATACTTTGTAGTTTGGTATCCTTTCTTCCAAATTTATGTAACGTAGTTCCTCTTCTTCGTTAAGTTGTGTCTAAGCTGTATGTGGTATCCGTGAACAGACCTGTGCTCATTGCACCACGATTTGGCTTGGACGATTCAGCACATAGCAACTTCGATTCCACTTTAGTCTTGGCAACAATGATGAGTTCACAATTACGCGGGGCAGATGATAGTTCTGGTCAAGCTATTCATACAGCCAATTCAAATGGTGCAGGTCCCAGCAGCAGGGAAGGCTCTCAAGATCGTACTCCGTCAAACGATTCTGTTCGAAGAGGCAACAGACCTGACATGACACCAGGATCTGCTCACAGATCAGATGAGACAGCCATCTGGTCTGATTTATCAGGTTAATCATAAAACCCTGAAGCTCTAGTGTAACAAAGTCCCCGAATGGCTTCATTAGGACATGATGTCAAGCTTTTACGAGTATCGGTATGTGAAGATTTGATAAGTACGACCAAACTTGTTCACTTTAGGTTATTAGAGTGAATAAGATATGTTTGAGGCAGAGAATCGTACTAATGTCTTTGAATCGCTCACTATGTAATTTGCAGATCTTGCCCAGATCAAAGTACTTCAAATGCGATATCAAATAAGATACTAGCGCAAATACCATCCACACAAAATTAGGCAGACGATGTCCTTTACTATATTTCCAGTACCGATTGCAACAAGGAAGCTGCACCTGGATTTCTAATAAGTTGTAGTGGCATTGGATTTTTTCAGGAAGTGCAAGAAGAACAAATGGCACTCAGCGAAGGACAAGCATCAATCAGCCCACGCCAGTTCTGCATACACATCAGAATCTGGATGACAGCGAGGACTCACGACGGAATCTACCCGACTCCGAGGATGCAAGTGAAGAGATACCCACTTTGAACAGACACGAACCTGAAAGTGCTAGAAGGAAAAGACTCCTAAAGCCTTCAGATATTGACCCATCTGTCAAAGTATCATCAGTTCAAACCTTTCCTGAAACAGCTCTGCGGCCTCTCAAGGATGCGTATGGATTACGCCCCGAGAGTACCAGCCAGCAGGAACCTTCAGGTCAGACTTTCCGACAGACTGTTCCAGGAAGTGAGCTATTCTAAGTCCAGTAATCCTGCCAGGAATATGTTTCAATGCAGAATCATCGGGATGATTTCAGGGCAATTAGTGCTCAAATAGGGGGATGTGCAGTGAACTCTTTGTGCTTGATGCTAAATTGAAGTGGAAGTTAATTAGTGCCTATATTTAGCAGGGAGGAATTTGGACGATGAGACTCCACGGCCGAGACAACCATTATGGGAAGAGAATTCGAGTGATGCTGATTGCGAGGACGACACGGAAGATCCTGATGATGAATTTTGCGTTCCCACCACTCCACCTGAAAGGAGGGGTTCATATTAATTGGGTTTCCAGTGTCTACTTGTGAGCGTACTGTTATGGTAGGTACGCATGACGCGTACAAAATACGCGCAGTACCTCAAAACTGATCAAGCTTGTCACACCCAGTTGTAACGCATGCAGAAAATAGACTCAGCGCACATCCTGTTGAACCGGAGATCAGATATTTAGCATTAGACACTTACGGAACATCACAGTACAGCTCGAAATCAAATGTCCATTTGGCAACATCAATTTGTTTCTGACAGTGATGAAGCAGTCTACCGTCATGCCTGCGGAGTTTCGCATGTAAATAAAAACTCAGAATTCCAGTGGAAAATCCAGCGCAACATTCGTAGTAAGATACCTCACCCAGAGTGATATTATAGTTTATCTGATCCTATATGTATGCACGAACACTACCCAATTTAGTACGCACCTCTTTTATGACCACGAATTTCTTTCTTTAACATATTCAAAACCAGACAGTAGATGATCAGGATGACCCATGACTCAACCGTGACATTCCTTGTTCTACTGCGGACATCCACGACACCAAGTAATTGGAATGGGAAGAATTCTCAGTTTCGCTGGCACTCGCACGCTGCTGTTGTTGCGGACATTGCTGGACAGGCGTGGAAGACCCCTCCGTGATTCGAGCTCGGCAATAGGGGCATTGCTCATGGCCCTCCAGCCATGGAATGAGGCAGTTGGGATGAAACCTATGGTTACATGGAAGAGCTAGAAGTCCCTGTCCTGCCAGAAATTTTTCTAAGCAAACCGGGCAATCTTCCTGGTCACAACTGCTGTCAGATTCTCTCTTGGCACCGTGAGTTTCCCGCTTGATTGCGTCGATTGCAGCTTTGCTCATACCCTCTCGGGGTTTGTGGGGAGGATGAGAGCCCTCTCCTGCTGTTGGGCGGTGGTGATGATGATGGTTTCTACCAAAGAGGTCCGGCTGCCACCGGTCTTCAAGGCTGGGAGCCCATGTCGCAAGCCACTCCCGCACTGTGCGCTCCCAGTCTTCATCGTCACTCCATAGATTCTCATCGTCATCGGTGTCGGAGAACACGCTCATCTCGTACTGAGTGGTTCCCGCCGTCATTGCTGAGTTTACTGCTTGTCTGAAATATGTCAGGAGTGCACAAAATCGGTCTCGTATGAAGGAAGTAAACTTTCTTCTGTTCGAATGATTTGATTGCGATTGTGCGATTAATTAAATCAGTCCTTTGAAGTGAAGTTACAACTAGATGGAGACCGATGGCTGAAACGATGTGGAAGGTAAGAGACATGGTTCACAGAGAACCATGCGGGATCACAAACCTGGGAGGATTGGCAGAGAATCTCGGGGGGAGGGCTGCGGAGCGTAAGCGCTCGTCTAATCGGTCACGAGCCTCCATGGCTGCCCCTTGCAACCTTCGTTCATGGGCTTGGCCTCTTAACAGCATTGCCAATGTCGATAGCCGAGATTCCTCTCCCCGGTAACCTCGAGGACCCCGATAGCTTGATCCTGAACGACCTTCCCGAGTGCCTGACGAAGTTAACAAGCTCAAGTTACTATTTTGTTGCAGAGAGGCAGCTGCGCGGTGCTCCTGTAGAAGGTCATGCTGTACATTTCGTAGAAATAAACCCATGAGATACTGGGGGGGGGGGGGACAAAAACAAAAAAACAATAAGAAATACAAAGATATGGATAAGCTGACGCCACAAACACGTGGCACTTTACTGCATTTCAAGTCGCGCAAATAAACTATGTCAATCAGCATGATAAGCCAATTCTACCTCTTGAAAAAGCGATTGAGAGTCCCTGTTAGTTAAATTAATCCAGCGTGATATTGTGAGATCGAGCCGTCTGGGAAGTTTTGGCAAGGTTAAACAAAAATACCAATCGACGAACTTGAGTCGACAGAGCAGCGGGATTTCGAGAAGCTGAGCGAGACGCATGATGATGATAGTGGTGGTGGTGATGATGGTGGTGGTGGTGGTGGTGGTGATGGTGAGCCAAATTGGACGGACCGGAACTGCTCGTTCCTCTAGAGCGACGCCCTTCACTCGACGAATTTGAACCAAGCTGATGGGCGCTGGGGACATCCTGTTCTCGTCGCTGTGCAGGAGCTCGCATTCGGCGTCTCCGCGCCACTTCGACTCCCGGCAACATATTTGCTGTCTGGGTGATCAATATGCTGAAGCTACAGCTTCATGGCAGTGATATTTGGGATATTATACTACCTGCACTTGTACTCGAAGAATCAGTAACCTGATTACCTCGTTTCTCGACATCAAAACCTCGACCCTTACAAAAACGTCACGGGTAACCCTAACTACTGGCCAGGCTGCAATCAAATTCTTCCAAATCACTCTCCCGTCACAGATATCGTTCCAATTATGTACAAGCAGTTGATGGTCGAGATCGATTGTCAGGGCTAGTTGTCAATCCCTGCGATTGTTTCAGGTTTTCCTCTCTATTTCTACTACGTAAGAAAGGCAAAAATAGCAGACTCTGACTCCTGAGCGATAATAATACATGCCTGACTGCGCCGAGGGGGCGTACACGAGTACTTGTATCAATTCAACTACCTGGAAAAGGGTAAGGTCTTCCAGGGACGTGCCACAAAAATTTAGCTAAAACATCACAAGGGACAGGCTAGCTACTTGGTTCCAGAAGCTCGTCACAAAGCCTCGGAAGACGACACCAGAACTGTTATAGAAAAACCTCTCCCTACTTTTCCTACTGTTTCTAGTGACAAATGACCATGTGACGCTCAAAAAAGCACGCAGGTAAGTGAAGTCTATAAAATCATCTCAAGCCTTGTACTACCAACACAAGTACCGCCATAAAAGGCACATGAAAGCTAGAGAACCGTAGCTGAGGAAAGTCGCGAAGGGAGCGGGAAAGGGGATTTTCAACATCAGAGAGGAGATAAGGAGTAGTGTTCTCACAGGAATTAAGCACCACGACTCGAGAGGGGATAAAGAGGAGGACTCATTGCAGCTCATCGTCGAACTCGTTGTTATCGTTCTCGCCGTTGAAGCCGCACCAGACTCTGCATCCGCCATCGTGATTAAAACCTCAACAATAAGGTTCTCTCTCTCACACTCAAAACCCCAGGGCTCGCACTCTCCCACTCCCCAAGGCCACAACAACAACCTATATCCGAGGAAGCGGAACGAGCTTCCTCTTGTGTATTGCGAAACAACCCAACAACAACATCCTCAGAATCCCTTCAAGGAACTCCCACCACCATCGCCGCCTCTAAATTTAGACCGATCTCAACAGCGTTACGGGGATGGAAATGGAGATGGGGCGAGCTCCAGGACAAGGACAGCATGGGGCTTTGGCTCAAGCGCTTAGGATTAGTCCTCTTCATCCATCATGTGGATGAATGAGGGGTGCGTGGATGCGTCGGAGGAGGATGAGGCTTTGGATGGATGAATAATAATTCCAAGGTGTGCCCAATTCACTCTAAAGTAAAAACACAACTAACATTATAATAATAATAATAATAATAATAATAATTTAATATAAAAAATGATAAGTTCAAGGGTGTTGAATTTTTCTACTACGTGAACGTTTAAAACATGTGACTTGTTTGATGAATACCCCAGAAAAAGAAAAAGAAAATGGGTATTGAATGCTGTGATGCTCTTTTGAAAACTCAAGCATGAGAAACTTCAACATCAGATGTTATCATGTAATCAATTTTTTTAAGGTTTCTGAGTTTGTGCTTCTACGTGAGAATACGTCGTACATTAGTCCTGTAGTTTTGTTTGCATGATAAATGAACTAAGTTCGTATTCCTAATATCTTATATTCTTTACAATTAGTCAGTTATTATTTAGATTTTATCCGCACAAGCAGAAAAACATGATAAAAATAATTTTACATGATGTAGTCTTTTTCTATTTTGTGCAAGATCAACATTTAAGTGATTCACTTAAAAAAATCAATAATAAGATTACAACCACAATTATTTTTTGCATACAAGTTAAAATTTGGTTCAGTGTTATGAACCTTAGCACAAAGAAGTATGTGTATATGTAATGTTATTATTAAGATCATAAAGTGCGAAGTAAAAAAAGGCTTGCTTTGTGTATACAAATGAATGAATGTTTAAATAAAACTGTTTAATCAAAATGCCACCTTGGATCAATATGTAACACATTGTTTGGAGTGTATTAATAAGTAAGTCTGTGTCATTATAAGTTGTATTCATACGTTTTTGAGTGATGTATCTATTTTGTATGTATGCAATGCATATATATATAAAAATTGACACCTCTAAGTCTATAATTGTTTTAATTTACACAAAAGTACTTTCCAATCCCTAGTCTGAGATACGTCTCTTTATATTAAAAATTCAGACTCATTCTTTATAAACTATAACTATTAATCTCTTGGTTTGAAAACATTTCTTCTGAACCCTAATTAATACTTGTTGGTGAAAAAAAATAAAAAAACAAAAGCACAAATTCAACCAACAAGAGGACTTGTTTCCATGATTTGATTTGTTTGTTTTTCTTTCATCATCTGCAGAAAAATTCTCCTTTGTTAATCTCTTTGATGTAAGTCCTTCATATGAAAAAAGTCCTCTCTCCATTGTTACATAGATTTTATGTATTACTTAGATAATACTCATTTGGATGGATAGATGGGACAGTACCTTCCTATGAAAAGGCTCTTTATCCCCTCATTTCATTACCTTGTCCATGTGGCACCACCATTTGCTTTGCTGGATCCCACGTGGAGGTGGCGTAGAGTGCAGAATCCCACGTGGATGATGAAAGGTCCTGTTAGAATATTGCATGCCACTTGGAAGGTGCAGAGTCTGCCACATCAGCTCCCTCAACATGGATCCAATAATATGAGTTAGTGTCCCACTATTGCGTTGGTTTTGATTTTTCTTGCAAACTGTGGATTGGTTCCCATAAAATCCTTTATCTATTTGTGGATGGCTTTTGATTCTCTTAATATACTTTATCCTTTTTTAAACTGCATTGAGGACCCCCGTTAGTTGTGGGTATTAGAAAAATACATTTCCTGTATTTTAGAAAATTATTTATAAATAAATAAAAAAATTAGTAAAACAAATCTTCACCCAAAATTCTCCTGAATCTGTTGCATAACGCTTAAGATATAATCAATAACAATTTTATTCTTAACTATTCTTGAGGACTTTGCATTTATTCTTTGTTATATTCTATTAATCCCATATCCAAAGAACTGCTCTTCAATGTTAAGTAAAATATTATATTTATTCTTTGTAAATCTTCAATTAAGTAAAGGTGTCAGAAACTACTAGCAAAAGCATAAGATAGAATATTTTACTTGTATTGGAATAAATGAAATTTTGTTTTTGAATAAAAATCCAGAATGGCCTATAATCTGTTTTTTTCTATTTTATTTTAATTGAAATTTAATACACAGTTCTTTTTATTCTTATTTCTACATTGATTATAGACTATATAATATATTTTAATATAAAAATGATAGGTTTATCTATTTGAATATCAAAATCTGATACATATAGTATTAATAAACATCTATTATCTCTCTCATATTGTTTTTATAAATATACAATAAATGTTTTCTATGTAGAAGTTTTTAGTTTTTAATTTTTAATTTTTTATGTTAATACTTTAAAATATTTGAAAATTATTTTTAATAACGTTGTAATTAAATATTTGATCAATCAATGTAGGTTGCTTCAATGCAAACATCTTTGCAAATACATCTAAATAATATCGTATTTATAATCTTCAAAATAATTTTTTGTATTTTTTTTTTTGTTAATTATTTAATACTATTATTTCAAAAACATATAAAAGGTAGGATATCTGCATGAGAGTTATTCAAATTAAATTATCTTAAATACATTCTATTCAATTCTAATTTGTAATGTAGTAAAAATAATTACTTTTTCTAAATTTTCCAACTTAACTTCTTTCCTACTTCTAGCTACTTTTGTAAATCCTTCATATATATATATATATATATATATATATTTATATATATATGCAAAATTAGTCTTGATAAAAATATTACACATAAACCTCTTATTTATTCCATAAGGGCCTATATTTCCATCATGTGATTGTAATTTAAATTAATTTTTTAATCATAATTTTTATCTAAAATAAAAAATCACAATGGAGTTGAAAGTGAGTTTGCTATCTTTCATAATTTTTTTTTAATAATCATTTGCATTATCTTATAACTAGGTTACATATTCTTTTATTTTTTTTTTCACTATGTAAAACAACCACAATTTTATATAATATTAAAAGCTCAGTATGTTGTTTGTTACTACCTACTGTAAAATATACAAATGTAAACATATACATTTACAAATTATTATTATTATTATTATTATTATTATTTTTATGTTTGACTTTAATATTCCTTCTCTTAGTATCTCATGCACTTGGCAACAAAATATATAAAATAATTAATGTTTATGTAAATTTTATTAAAGTTTTTATATTTTTTGATAAAAATATATTGTAATTTATATTATTATAGCTTTATGTGCAACATCTCCATCATAAACACCTAATTTTATGTAATTTTTTTATCACATTTTAATGTAAGAAAAAATTAATTTGATATTATAGATTCAAAAGTATTCAAAAAACATATAATTTATATTTATTAAGATCACTAGTAACAAATTTTATAATAAAATAAATAACATATATCAATTTTTTTTAGAATATATAAAGTTTCTATATATATATATATATATATATATATATATAAGAATTATGTTAAAGAAATATGTACAAATTTTTCTATAAAAATATATACTGCAAATAATTATATCTTAATAAAATATGAGCATAATAAATAAATCATTAATTATTGATTTAATATTGAATATTATATTTTTATTATCTTTTTTAGTTATAATATTTTTTAATCTAATTGTACAAATAAATTTTCTATAAGTAAGCTAAAAGTAAGTTAGATGTAAATTATGAGTAAATTAAATTCTATCTATATTTTCATACTTTTATTCTTCATAATTATTACCAATGCCTATTCATTATAACATGTAAAGAGTCAATTCTTACTAATAGTATATGTTTTAATACAATAATAAAGTTGATTGGATTAAAAAAGAATTTAGAGGGTTTATAAGACAAGCATCATCTTAATTTTAAATTTTGATCCTTTAATCAATAATAACTATTAATCTTAATTTAGTCTTTATAAGATTTAAAGCTAAAGATGTGATTGTCATCCTCAGATCTTAAGACAAGAATATAAGAGGTCTCATGGATTCATTTGGTAGGAACCTCTTCTTATTTGTTAATAGACAAAGCCATACTAATTTTTTACTAGATGTCAAAGACATAAATCTTAAAGAATTGAAAAATCAAGACACTCTTGTATCACTCAAAAATACTAGATAATCAATCAAAGATGGTAAGATATTAAACTAGAATGGCTATTGCCAAAGACAAAAAGTCTAGAAAGTCTTGAAATATGACTATAGATAAAAAAAAGTATTAACAAGAGTAAAGAAGGCTTCACTCTTACCTCTATATATACTATCTAACTAAAAATTATATGACAATGTTTTATATGACCTCCAACATATGTTGACTTTGTGAGATACATATCTTAACTTACAAGTCCAATTTATTATATATGCACCACATAGTTAACTTATTCCATAAGCTATCAATACGTGTGACATATAATTAAGTCGTTGACCAACTTTCTAATCTACCAATCAACTACAAACATGTATAAAGTGAAAACCACATCTATCAAGCTTTTAGAAAGCTTTCTTAGAAGATATTATAAAATTAGCATACTTCTATCTATTCCTATTTAATCATATAGATAATTATTAGAATAAATATGTATGATTGTGACATTATTTTTCCTTCGAAGAATGACTTCTACAAAAAATAATAATCATATGTTGAAAAAATCTAAGATGCGGAAAATTATGTTTGTCACATATTTTGATCTTTGTTTTCTTCAAAGATGATTGATAGGTCATCTCAGCCATTCATAGTGTTTTATAGTATGGTAGAAAGTCCACCCTGTTATTTGATCATTGTTAAGGCTTTTATAACTCCTTTCACACAAATATTTAGAATATTGTCAAGAGTCGTTTCTACCTCTAATAAAATTATTAAACATTATGAGTCTTTTTGAAGGTCGTGATAACAAACACATTGTATCTTGCCATCTATTCAAAGAAAGACATGTCATTCTTAAAGATCTTCATCTTTGCTATATTATCTTAAAGGTTGTAACAATTACAATATTTTTTTCAATAAGTTATCAAATAATAGCTCTTGAGTTGAAT